ATTAAAATCCATTAATTTGGCTTTGAAGGCCTGAATATCGGCCGTTTGCTCTTGTTGCTTAGAACTCATTCAAGACTCCTTAATTATTCTTTTGCCAATTACTGGCTCTTCTAGGGCCACTATATTTGGCATCATCTGTCTGAACATTTCAGTGAGTTCGTCCACTGAAAATGGCTCTTCACTTTGCGTGACAACTTGAGTTTCTTCCCCATCTTGTACTACCCTCACAGGTCCATAGTTTCCTTCGTACATGAACTTTTCTACCGAGTTTGCTTCTACGACAAAAGGCCTATGATTGGCCTGTACCACCTCTGCTTCGCCCTTGTTATTCCAAAAAATCAAGCATTGATGGAGTGATGAGGGTATACAGCGACTTCCATGTATCCAATCTCTTCCTAGTAACACATTGTAACTAGTAGGACCATCTATTACAAAGAAGACTGTGGTTCTAGTAGTTGTCCCTATAGTTATGTCCAATGGCGTAACTCCCTTAGCTGAAGTTGCTCCTCCATTGAAACTCGTAAGGATGACTTCTGTTGGAATCATGTCACCCCCTGTCTTTGCAAATTTCCTCATCATCCTAGATGGAATGTTGTTTATAGCTACTCTATTGTCGATAAGCACTTTTGCCACAGGGATGCCGTTAACTAGGGCTTTAACGTACAATGGCCTCAAGTGTTTAGTCAATTTCATGGCTGGCCGTTTAAAAATAACCTTTTCGGCAGTCTCTATTTCTACTTCCTGCTTGTTTTCTATCCAATTATCCCCCTGTGATAAGTTGACATGCAGCATATCGTGCTGAGCCTCTGTCTTCTGAATTTCCTCCTTACTGTTTTCTAATGCTTCCTCATCAGTTACCTAACCTATGGGAGGGGGCATTATTTTTGGAGGTGATCCATACTTTTCAGAGCGAGGTACTCTCTTCTTCCTTTTGGGCGTCCCGTACAGTACGTAGAAATCGAAAGGATGCCCAGATGGTTCTCCCAACAAGTTTACTTCGCGAACTCCCTCTCGATGTAGTTGCTTCAACAGAGTATTGTGTGATACTCCTCTCCTTCTTCTTTCTGCTTCTAGGTTGATTTCTTCTTCGATGTCTGTCATCCCGTCGTCTTCTTCATCATTGTAGGCCTCTCTAGAAGTCTGGCCTTCTTCACATTCCAGCACGCAAGCCTCTCCTTCGTTATCCTCCTTTTCTTCTTTTTCTTTATTCTTGAATTCATTGGCCAGTAAGTAATTATTAGCCACGACAGGAGGTAATGTACCGAATTGGATAGTAAGGGGCTGATCTGGATCTTCTCCATCCCTTCTGTCTCGCTCAAACTTTGATCTCTCAGAAGAAGTTTCTGGCAGTTCTTTCATTGATTCATCTGTACCGGTCTCTTCACTATCTTTGAGAACATTTTAATTGGCTACCTTGAGTAGTTTAGGCGCTTTAGGATGTGGCGCTCCCTGTTGCTGCCTCATCATTCGTCCATAGTTTCGTTGAAAATGCCTTTGTTGGGTTCTAGTCATCTTATTGAAGGGTATTGCCCTTCCTGTATTATACTGGAACGAATGCCATACATTTGGCCGGCGAAGTTGCGGCCTGAATGTTCTCCCATTATCTACTGGCCTGAACTGCCTCTCAAAAGGCGATCCTCTATAGAATGATGTACCTTGCCCTCTACCAGGTTGAGTGTTTGGGAAGAAAGTAGGGCGATGGGGATGCTGCCATATCCCTGATTTCTCCGTGTTCCCACTCACTTTTCTTTTACATCTTGCACAGAAGATGTCTTCGTCTTTTTTTGGCTCTTTCCCCTTGATTCGTTCAAAGACACTGGGATGTGATCTAGGGTCCTCTTCTCCATCATCTATGACCAACTTGAATTTTGGCAACTTGTTTTTTAAACCAGACGTCACCATGTTCACTTCAAGTGGCTATGGAAAAGGATTTTCATCCACTGCCATCTTCTTCTTATCGTCAAACGTAATTTGTCCTGATTCAATGGCATCCTTCAATACATGGCGAAAAACCAAGCAATTGTTAGTCAAATGTGACCATGCATTATGTCATTTACAATATTTTTTACCCTTAATTTGTTCAGGGTTTGGCAATTTACGCTTATCGCTTAGCTTTATCTGCTTATCCCCATATAATTTATCAAATATAAGGTCAGCTTTGGTTATATCGAACGAGAACATTCTAGCCTTTATGTTTCCATCTTTCATGGGCTCATCTTTGCCTGATGGTCTAGGCTTAGCCATTATAGGACAAGTATACGTGTCTCCTTTGACCAATTCGGCCAAACATATTTCGGCTTGATAGTATGACTCGTCGCTGATGGTATGAACGTCAAAGTTTGGGTCTTTGTAATAAGTCCCTTTACTAGAATTTTTCATCTGTTCTTCTTCTCTTATCACTCGTTCACATCTAATCACATTCGCACTCAACTGAAAAAGGTCAGGAAATTCCTTGTCTTGGAATTTCTTTTTTAAATCAAAGCTCAAGCAATCCTGAGCGATTTTAACAAATTCTTTTTCGGGCAGAGGTACAAAACACTTGCTTCTTACTGTCTTGAACCTTTGGAAAAAACTTTCTGCCCATTCGTTCGACATTTGACGTAGATTCGCCAAATCAGCCAAAGTAACTTCAGACTCAGTTTTATAAAACTGAGCGTGGAATAATTTTTCCAATTGTTGCCATGTTTGAACAGAGTTCGCTGGCAAGTTGATGAACCAGGAGAAAGCTACTCCTGTTAATGAACTAGGGAAAAGCCTCATTTTATGGTAATCAGTTACATCACCACTTTGCAATGTGAATCGCCCTATGTGTTCTAAAGTAGACACCTCCCCTAAACCGGTAAACAGTGAGAATTCTGGTACTTTATACCCTCTAGGCCATGGATATGCTCGGTCTACCCAATCAGGATATGGCTTTGTGTAAGTAGGCCTAATGACAGGATGCACCCCAAAAGCCATCTGATCCTGTACAATTTCCATAATCTGATTCCTCAACATGACGTTGGGGTCATATGGAATTCCTGCAGGTTAGTTAACCGGTTGATTTGCATGAGGCATGATGTTTGGTCCTTGATTGACAACAAAGTTACCATGATTAGGGAACATCTATTTCCTCATTAACACGTGGGGTATTCTGTCCATTGTTTAGGACATTAGCTCTTGCATTTGGATTACCCCCCAAGTTAGGCGTACCACTACCATTGTTCTGATTTGGCACTGCACCACTCCCTTGGTTTGAAGTAGAGGGACCAGAAAGTGGTTCTATCCCTTGATTCGGATTTAGGGCTGAGGGATTATGTCCCACAATTATCCTAGTTTGAAAGTGATTTGCAAGAGGCATAACCGGTTGACATATTTGGTCTACTAACTTATTCATTATTTCGTTCAAAGTATTTAATTGTTTGGCCATGTTGTCATAATGTGCATTCCCATTTTGGGTAAATCTTTCCATATTATGAATACTTCAAAGATTTATCTGTTCAACGGCATCTTGTGTGAGTTCTCTAGGTAGTGCGCGCATGGTTCGAGGACTCAACTCTGTCATTGGTTCGTAACGACTGTTACTGCTCTGATTCTGTCCATCTGTTCGTGGAGAGGCATGCTGCTCATATCGCTCGATCACAGACTGGACTCCTCCCTGACTTGCTGCTTCCTTATCGGATCTCTGAGGCATATTGTTTCACCTTTTGTATTTTCAACACCAAACACCACTGTCCTACTGGGCGTGCCAAATTGTTTCGCGCGGGTTCGTCGCTAACAATTAAAAAGGGATCAGACGATTGTTTAAGGGACAAACCTCTTGAGATAAAATCCCAAAAAGGGGTGTTCTTTATTGGCGGTGTCTTTACAATCGGAAAGTAAAAACAGAATGCCTCCAAGTGGCGCAAGCACACGAGTTACTGAAAAAAGTGTTTAAATCTAAACTAAGAAATTTAAAATTACATGTTCTCTGTTCGAGAGTTTTTTTATTCGGGGTCCTTTGCTCTATGTTTTTCCTTCCTTTTATACTCCCTGGATGACCTCTTTGTGATCAACCGCCTAAAAACTACTTGATCGTTCTATAACTGCCCACTTTCTTCGTAATGGCCAACTTGTCATGGAACTGCATTTTTTAACTGTGCCATTACTCTTTGTCGTTCAACCGTTTTTGATTGAATTTCTTGAATCGTGAAACGTGATAGGGCTGCTTAATAACTGTTTTGATAACTGCACTTCTTGATAACCACAACACTTCATGTTTGCTAAAACCTTGGGCGACTCGAAGGTTTGGGCGAGAATAGAGTAGCATTCTAGGCGACTGCATGGCACTCCATTCGCTCAGATCCTGGGCGATTTGCAAGCTTGGGCGATGGTGTTACCACGTTCATGGGCTTCCCTATTTGGACCTTCATCCTGAATTGTCTGATTGTACTTCGTTCTTTGGGCTATCTGATTTGTGGATCCTCCAATTGGGCTTCGTTCTTTGGGCCGTTCGATTTGGGCTGAATTTTTACGTGTCAACAGGTAGTTTTAAACTCAAACATAATACAAACTAACTCATCATAAAAATATATTCATTTCCCACCATGTTTTCGTTTAATATCTTATAACATATATTTGCCCAAACACAAGCAAGTATATTATGCCCCAATTTGACTTAGATATAAATTAGATTTTTAATAAATTTTAATAAATTGATAGAACGCATGTTAAAAATTGAAGATACCACGAAATATACAATTAAAATTAACTATGGATTTTTTATTTGATTTTCAATTCGAATTTTTAGGTCAAACAGAGGTATATCTCGTAATCATTTTTTATTTGCTTTAAAGGCTAGTACATTTCTCCCGTAAATAGACATTTGATTTTGCTATAAGGAAGAAAATAATGAACATTACGAAAACAATGCATATTCCAGAAAGCTGGAAAACTCCTCCTGTCCAATCCATTTGCGTTAGGGAAAAATCCTACCAGGTCTTGCCTGTACGGTAAAAACGATTTTCTCTCTTCACTTTCCTTTATTGCTCTGTTACGTACATAACATGCTTCATGAAGTGAATTCGCCGCGGATTTCTCGCCGGAGACGACTCGCTTCGCTGTTGATTTTTTTGAATATACAATTTCTTTGGTTCTTCTTCTTTGTGTTTCGGTGTTAAAAAGATTAAAGAATCCTTGTCCTCGCTGTTGCATCGGCGGACCAAATCTCGGAACTTCCACCGCTTCGATCCTGATCCGGTAGACTTGCTCTTTTTACATTGACTCGGCGATGACTTCGAGAATTCAGGCCTCCATACGCAGTAAGTTCCCAGAGGTATAGTCTCTAACTCATCGACTTTCGATGAGGACGATGAAAGATACTCATTCTCGTACTTTTCCATAAAATTCTTCTTCAAAGGAATTCTAACACTCTCCACTCCTTCACCAGACAAACCTTTATCAAAATCGTCATAACTTACCAAAAGATCGTGGTTAAATACGGGAAACACTTGCTTGATTTGGCCGTCATAGATGAATTCCTCAGCCAAAAGCCTTTGGTTTTCACCTGCCAAAGCAAACTCAAATTCATCATCATCATTCTCATCGTCTTCAGTATCGGTTGTGTTAAGTCCTGTGACTTTGTTAGCAATTTCTGCAATCCTATGAGCCGAATAGCTGTTGAAACTCGGGCAAATGCAGAGCTCCTCTTCACCATCCGCCATTTTGTTTAGCGTCAGACTGTTCTATGTATATTAATATATAACTGTAAGCACATACGTATAGAAAGAGAAAGAGAAAGAGAGAGATGAGACGAAGCCCGAAGGTTTTCTTTAATGGGGAGACGAGGAGTATGTTGGGGGAAGGGTGCTTCTTATAATGTGAGGGAAATATTTGACGGTCGTTACTTAGTCACAAAATTTATGCGGTAATTCCCACGTGAGTTTCTAGAATTAAATTCGGGTTCACACGTAAGTTTCTTGAGTTATATATAAAATTTAAACATTAACCTTGATTCATGATTATCATGTCACTCAAATGTAACACAATCAAATCATATAAACTAACTCGGTTACTATTTTACATTAACTAATCTGATCAATTAAAATTTAATAATCATTCTATAGTAACATAATGGTACATAATTCTTAACATAATGTCACATGACATTATATTATTGAACTGTTTAAATCACAGACAAATTTTTTCATCCAATCATATTTTGCCAACACTCATTTGTTCAAAGCGTTTGTTAACATTCTTCTATCAATGTGGGTTTACCCAAAATTTAATTAGACTTAATTCGATCAAGTTAATTCAAACTTTAAATTAAAGTATCATGAAATTCATAATTTTTTCGTGATTTTCGAGCTTTGAGCCCTAATAAAATTGGGTTCCTTGAGTATGTTTACACACACAAATCTGTATCTTTTAGAACTAAATCTCAAAATGACTATAAACTCTCGTTTGACTCGAGAAAATGATGGCCTCATCTTTTGGAAAATTGAGACAAAAAAAGTTGAGATTATATTGGATATCATATGACAAAGTTCAAGAAAAAAATTATTAAAGTATCCTTTTGGAATTCCAAACTCCAACTATTCGCCATAATCATCTTTTCAATTTTCTTAAATTGATTTTCTTTGCTTCTCCTTTTTTATTAGAAAATTGTACAGTTTAAAATGAGTTTGAAGATGAATTGTATGGGTTCTCCATTGATGAATTTTTTTTTTTTTTTTTTGATAGTAATGAAAATGTAGTAGCTATAAAACAAGACGACGGATTATTTTTACGCCTGTGTCTTACTTATTTAAATCATTATCGGGGGCAGACATAAGAAGGGACAAATGGGTGCCGTCTCCCATATATGCGACTTTTTTAAATTCAAAATTTCAGATTTTTTTTTTCGGATTCTTTCCCAATTTATTTGAAATAATTTTTTTACTGAGTTGTGTCTCATCCCCACTGAACCATAATCTTGAGTTTACTCCTAATCAATATAATATTTTTGAAAAAAAATAAAAATTTAACGACTCTTTGATGGAAACCGTAATGACTAAATAGAGATGGAGTACCTTAAAATAAAATGTGAAAAAATAATATGTAATGAAAAAGCAGAATTACTATCCTACGACAGTGAAAATTGTTCGTGTGAAACCCACAAGCGTACGGGATCGTTGACAATATCGTCCCACAATGAATAAAATTTAATTGAGTGTACTAATCCTTAATTAGATTCAAAGCGAACAAATTAAAATTGATTTTTGTGATTTTTAATTATTCTACTTTAATCTATGAAAACGTATAAAATGCGAATTTAAAATGTATATGGGAAGAGTGTATTAGATTACGAATCCACCTATTATTATCGATTCCAATTCTCGACTACGTAGCTAGTTTCTCTTTTGCATTCCTGACAATCAATAATTCTATTATAATTAATTTTCCTTTCCAAGACAAATTAAATCTATCCTATTTACGACCCGATCCTATTCCTAATCCGAATTCATATGAATAGAACACATTCAATTTCACAATTATCTCAAAAATTGTACACGTGATAAATTTTATTCCTAAAATTTATTGCACGTATGTTAATCATACAGCGTTCTAAACTTATTGTAAACCTCCCAATACTACAATAAGCAACTATATATTTAATTGATGATAAAGCAATCAAATTATTAAATTAAGCATGCAAGATTAATCAAGAAATTACAAGAATTTAACTAAACCACGTGTTCTGAATTAAAATAAATAATAAAGAGTTTCATCTTCATCCAATACATTAGAAAATTAACCTACCATGATATTGAAATTAAACATATAAAAGAGGAAAGACATCACCAAAAATTGATGAAACATGATTAATCCCACACTTTCTCTTGGCTTCCGCATGTGTATGGATATGTATATCTAACTCCAGGCACCCTTCTTTTGTATTTTATTTCCCAAACAAGCTGATGCCAAATTGTGTGTATTGTTTGTATATAAAAATCAATTCCCCAAAGTTGGTTGTCACTTTTCTGTGCGCGTAATCTCCAATTCCAGCACACCAATTTCTCAGCCTACAGTCCTCTCCTGTTGTGTGTGTCAAAGTTTGTATATATAGCCCAGCAATCCTCAATGTTGGCGTCTTTTTCAATGGTTCTTGTCTCCCCCCACCAGCTGCCTGTTGATGTTTTTATAATATATCAAGCAGCTGGCAATTCACGTAATTGTATGTATGAAAATCGGCCCAAGCAACCTCAATGTTTGTATATTTTCAACCAATTGGCAATCCTATCTTTCTCCTCTTCCCGTCGACCTTTTTTCTATGATTTTTTCTCTCCCCAGTTGGCGTGTAATTCCTCCCATGAGCACCCCAATTTCTCTCCGTTTGTTGTGTGTATATATATACATATATATAAAAATATATAAAATTCAGCAGCCAATCCTATTTTATTTTCAAAAGAACCCCACTTCTTTTCTTATTTCATCAACTTGTCTGCGAGTAAATTTAACCAATGCTCATGGAACTTTAAACTTGGTTCATCTTTCTCAGGTTACTGAATACTCACTTATCTTTTCATATAGTTACTCATCCACCATTGGTCTCTTCAAATAATTGGGTGACTTTTGCGGCAACTTTTAGACAACTTCCGGCCACCAAGAATGTCGAATTTTGATACCGTTTGAAAGCCCACGATGTCCTCTTTAATTACCATCCAAAATCTCCTATCACTCCAAGGGGTTCGATCGGAAAATTGTATTAAAAGTCGTCCAAAAATTCTGAAAATCTGCCAAGATTTTCAGATTTTCAAATTTTTTGGACGACTTTTAAGGCAATTTTTCGGCAACTTCCGACCATCAAAACTGTCGGATTTTGATACTCTTGGAAAGCCTATAATGTCCTCTTCAATTATCACTCAAAATTTTTCCGTAACTCCAAAGTATTCTGTCACAATAAATCCACAAAATCAGCATCCCGAACTCTGTCCAAATTTTCACCTTTTCGGGATGTTGACTTTGTGGGTATTCCTATCGAATCCTTTGGAGCTATGGAGAAATTTTGGGTGGTAATTGAAGAGAATATTGTGGACTTTCCAACGGTATCAAAATTCGGCAGTTTTGATGGACGGAAGTTGCCAAAAAATTGCCTTAAAAGTCGCCCAAAAAATCTGAAAAGTTGTCGAAAAGTTGCCGTAAAATTCACCCAATTATTTGAAGATACGAGTGGTGGATGAGTAACTATATAGAAAAATGAGTGAGTATTCAGTAACTCGTGAAAGATGAATGAGCAAGTAGTAACCAAATTTAAAGTTAAATGAGCATTGGTTAAATTTACTCACTTGCCTGCCCTCTTGTATCACTTGGACCAGCCCAGTTAATAAGATATTTCAATTCAAGGCATCACTTTTCCCTTTTTATGAAATCTAGTCCTTAATATGAATTTTATTCATGCAACCAATGTCCTCCTCAATTTCAAACTTGTGAAATTTAATCCCAAATTATAGATTTGACTCGATTTTGTCCTTCTTCCTTTTCAATTGCTTCAAACGGGTTTGTCACTAAAAATAAGAATAAAATTAACCTAAGTTAAATAGAAATAATAATTTGACGACTTACAAGTTTAATAAATGTGGCCTAAATAAGTGCATAAATTACATTTATCAAAAGTAGTCATTCAGGTGCTTCCATTGGTGGGATCCACTCCGTGAGTAAAAGTTGGCAAATTGAATAATGAGTTATTCCACTTGAATAACCCCCTGATTGTTCGGTGGTGCTATTGAAGGGGCTCCTGTGGCTTTGACAACCAGGTTCGCCGTAAACAACCAGATTGAGTACTATTATGATACAATTTCTAGAAACCTAATCTCATATCATGCACGAAATAGAATAACAATAGTATTCCATGAAATACCTTCCTTTTTTGGAAAGAAACTAATTCATTTTTTGTCTCCCTTTTTCTTTTCCCAATAAAATTTATCTAAGTAGGGTTGCTTGATTCAAGCTTACTTGACTAAATATTATGCTAAGACTACATTACCTAGTTTATATCTTGATGTATATTGTGTGGGAATTCAAAAAGTGTAGGGCAAAAAAGTTTTTTTTTTTTAAATAAAAAAAATTGTCGAATCATATATCGTCACGTGGCACAAAGCAACCACGATATAAAAAAAATGTACATATAGTATGATTGTTTGACTAATTACTTGGCCGAGCATGGCTCGTCCAAAAATGGGCAAGCTCGTGGCTTGTGGGCAACTCGTGGGCCGAGCCGAGCCCAGCTGGCGAGCAGACGTCGTTTTTCCAATTTATTTTTTTTTGAAACAAATAGGTAAATTGGAAAATAAAAAAGTAATTTTAATTTTTAAATCGTGAATTATATATAAAAAACTAGGTAAAAAATTTAAACCTTCCTCCTTTATCCGGGCTTGGGACCAGCAACTTAAATTTAGAGTAGACGGAGTTAAAAATTATATTGTTTGTTTGTTTGTTCGTGTAAAATTTTTTAAAGAAAATTTAAAACAGTATTAAAAATTATTTTTTAAGCAACGTTGCGTGTCCCCTTGCATATAATCTTCAAAATAAATCCCTTCTAAAAATTGAAAGGGTAATCGAATTCCCTTTCAATTGTTATAAGTCTTCACTTTGAAGATTATATAGAAGTTTTTCACTTCAAAGATTATATATAATCTTCGAAGCGAAAGACTTCTGACAATTGAAACGGCAATCATTCGAT